TTTACTTCTTTCCTCTATTCCCTCATGGAAACCGCCGTTAGGCATTACTTCGTGAGGGGAGGATCTAGCTACTGCTCTTCCTTCTGGTGGCTAAGGTGTTATTTTTCCTTCCTTCTAGTTTTTGTCATTTGCTCTTTTCCTTTCAATGGAACGCAGCTCTGTGAGCACCTCTGTGGCAAAAGTACTTGTAGCGTTCCAGGCAGTTTGACTTGACAACATTGCCTCTACTATTGTCTCTTGTTGGATGCTACGGTTCAGGATCCTTTTCAACTTATCCCGCTGAGGATCGAAGCGGGGACACAGAAAGAAAACGTGCCTTGCGTCCTCGGTATGTGTGTGTGTTTTTTTTTTTTATTTTTCCCTTTAATGGGGGGGGGGAATCCTTTTTACGGATTCTAGGCATAGATGTTGGCCCGGATATGTGGCGACTCGACGCAGCGTCATACTAAAACTTGACGCTGACGCCCCTACCTAATAAACCCTAAATTCCTTTCTCTTCTATCCTCTGATCCCCCATGGTACCGCCGTAAGACATTTCTTCGCGGGGGGAGGAATTAGCTGCCGCTCTTCCTTCTGGTGGATAAGATGTTATCTTCCATCTAGATTCTGTCTTTTGCTCTTTTTCTCTCGATGGAACGCAGCTCTGTAAGCAATTCTGTGGCAAAAGTGTTCGTTGCATTCCAGGCAGCTTCTGAAGACAGCATTGCTTCTACGATTGACTCTGGTTGAGTTGTCTTCTTCAGGATCTTCTCCAGCTCCTCACGTTGTTGATTGAAACGCGAGCACTCAAAAAAAACGTGCTCTGCATCTTCAGTGGCTCCAGGGCAGGACGGGCACTCCGAAGAGTCGTCATGCCGAAAGTGGTGAAGATAAGCCCGAAAGCAGCCATGTCCTGACAACATCTGTATTAGGTAGTAGTTGACCTCACTCCGTGATTCCGGTTCAGCCAAATGTCGATCTTTGGTATAAGACGATGCGTCCATCTACCCTTCTCTGCGGCATCCCACTGAGATTGCCATCGTGTGATGCTGTGCTGTCTTTGTTCCGTTCTGAGTTCTTCTGCGCTCAGTGTTGTTGACCTCTTTCGTTGGTAAAGGTTCCGTCTATCTTCAGCTAGGACTCTGAGAGGTAGTGTTCCAGAAATGACGCACACTGCTTCCTCAGATATTGTGCGGAAGGCGCAAGCTACTCTTAGGACACTCAGACGATATACTGGTCCAGCTTTCTCCATGATTCTTGCTTTTCTAGTGCGTCCGCCCAGACAGATATTCCGTAAGTGAGCACTGATGTGACTACAGATGATAGTAGTAGTCTTCTGCTTTGCTTTGGGCCTCCGACGTTTGGCATCAACCGTGCTAATCTAGCTACTACTGCTGATGCTTTTGCACTCACGTGTTCGATTTGCTGCTTAAAGTTGAGTCGGGCATCAAGCATCACTCCCAGATATCGGATATATGGTTGTGATGTGATTTCTTGTTCTTCGACTTTCAGTTTTATGGTCTCTATCACTTTTCTGCTGGTAATAAGCACAGCCTCAGTCTTCTGTTTAGCCAGTTGTAGATTCATTGAATCCATCCACCGGTTAACTTTCTCAAAGGTGATACTGAACATGTGGTTTATCTCATCTAGGTGTTTCGCAACGATTACGACAGCTACATCGTCTGCGTATGCAACAAGCTTGACACTTCTTGGTAGAGTCAGTCTCAGCAGGCCATCATACATGACATTCCACAGAAGTGGACCCTGGGGTACGCCTGCTGTAATATCGTACTCTTTTGGACCATTCTTCGTGTCGTATCTCAGGATTCTGTTCGTGAAGTAGTTAGCCACTATCCTACGTAGGTATCCTGGTACGTTTTTCTCTTCCAGAGTTTGCATAATGCAGTCCTAGTTGGCGGAGTTGAAGGCATTTTTGATGTCCAGAGATGCCACCAGGCAGTACTTCTTCGCTCCACCTTTCCATCCGGTCCCTTCGATTGCCTCCTTGGCCGTTGCAACAACCAGGTTGATTGCGTCCAGGGTTGATCGTCCTTTCCGAAAACCATACTGGTTGTCTGCCAGGAGTGGATCGACAACTGCTTCTATTCTTTGGTGGATTATACGATCAAGTATCTTACCTGCGTGTCTAACATACAAAGTGGTCGAGAAGATGACGGTTCTTCTGGTGGCTTTTTTCCTTTTGGAAGTAGTACTAGTAGTTGCTGCTTCCACTTCCGAGGGAAAATCCCTTCTTTGAGGCATGTGTCGTAGACGTCCAGGAACAATGATGGCACTGCTTTTATAGTTGTTTTTAAGGCAATATTGGGGACCCCGTCCAATCCCTGTGCTTTATTGTTCCCTACACGATTACAAGCCTCCATCAGTTCTTCCTCCGTGACAAATGGAATGTCATCCATTTCATTCTGCGCTACTAGGTAGTTAAACTCGCTTTGTCCGGGGAACAACGCGTTTACTATCTTCTGTAGGAGTTGAGGACACGTGGGTGATGGCATTAGCTGGTTTTTAAGATGGGTCATAACCACCTTTTACGGCCGACCCCACAGGTCTCTGTCCACCTCGTTGATGAGCTCCTTCCAGCATTTTCTTTTGCTATCTTTGATGGCTTTGTTCAGGGATCGACGGGCTTTTTTGTACTCTGCAACCAGTTCCACAGAGTTAGTTCGTCGGTAGCCACGCTGAGATATTCTTCTCTTTTGATGACACTTTTTACGAAGGGCACTGATGTGGTCGTTCCACCAGTGAACGGAAGGTCTTGTGTTCATGCCACGTCTACGAGACATACTGGCGTCGCACGCCTGGGTCACTCTTTTCATCAGGTCCTTGGTCTTCTCTTCTACGCAGCCCGCGATAATCTGGTCACTATTGACAGCTACTAACAATGCACTTGGGTCAAGACTGCTACAAAGCCGGCATTGCTGTTGTCGACTGCATTTTGGAACGAAAGCTTGCCACAGGACCAAATGACAGCTTTGGATGTGCTGTCAGATTCCCAGGGTTGGGTACTCAGGTGTTTATATGGCTCTGCTATCAGTACCAAGTCAAGCTCTAGTTCTCGCACGGATTGCATGAGCAGGTCATGCGCTGCCTTACAATGGTTGAGATTGAGCTGCAGTATCCTCATGCTTGTTTGTTCGTCAACTTCTGGAGTGCATTCTGAAATACCGGGCACTTATGGGTACCGGCATGGTGGGCAACATTCTCTGCACTTTCAATCTCAGCACATAATGCACATTTGGCTGGATTTTCGCAATCAGCAATCTTGTGCCCTTCTTGTCCGCACCTGATGCAAAGCCTAGACCGATCGACTTTGCTTTTGCACTGGGATCCGAAGCGCCCAAAGTGCCAGCATTTGAAACATTGGACAGGTCTCTTCGTTGCTCTTATTCGACAGTTGGCCGAACCAATTCTCACTTTGCTGTTACCTTCTAGTAACTTCTGTGCAGTTGTCGCTGGTAGCGTCACTGTAGCAGTCTGAGTACCTCTGTAGCCTTTACGGATCTTGATCGACTCCAGAGGTATTTCACAGGTTTCTCCGGTTTCTTTTTTCAGTGCAGTTTGAATGTCTGCCTTCGTCGTGTCGTCATTGACGTCTCGGATCTCGATAGTCTCCTGTGGCCCTTTGCATATCACTTTGGCTTCCTCTTTAAGGATGTCCGCGATGATCTTTTGTAGGGCTTCGCCTCTATCAGCACTCTTTCTCGAAAGT